TTGATTGGATTAACTGCTAATTTTGCAGTTGCTTCAAAAGAGACATATCAATTGTCTTTAGAATTGTCAAGACACTTATAAGCACTTAAAATGTTTTCTTACAAATAAGTTGTTCTTCTGCTTCAAGTGGTTAATGGGGGCATTTGCTTTAGTAAAGAGCAGTTGGATTTGTTGATTCTCTCTGTACACAATTAAGAGGTTTCTTTGCTAAATGAAGGGAACCTCAGAGCTGAGATTGCTTATTGCTTTCACTTACACTTTCCTCCATTTCCTTTGCACATGAAATATTGAGCAGGCAGAAACACTCAGGTAATACTTCAGTTCTGGTTTTTGACAGCTCTTCGCACCTTCATTTGAATGACTAAAGGTATGTGATGGCTTTTCAAAACATTTTAATCAAAGTATTGCAAAACACTAAATGTGTCCTAATTGCCTGGAAACTATGAGAATTTCTTTTTGTGACCAGTGTGTGTAGGACATTCCAGACCGTATGGGTTAGTTAATGTTGGCAATGGAAAGGATGTGGGTCTGGAGACATGAACAAACAGGTGTGACTACCTGGACTGGAGCTCAAAGGGTTTTATGTTTTGTTTTTTTTTTTTGCAAGAGAAGTGCTGTTGTGAAACAACTCTCAGGACTTCCAGGCCTGGACACCAGATTTTCATGGCAATGTTTTCCAGGTGAAGGAGAGCTAAGGAATGTGCCCAGGGAGGTGCTGCATGTTTGGAGGGGAAGGGGGTATGAAGCAATTTGGAATTTCTTATACAAAGCTGGGATGAATATGACCAAATTAAACCCAAGGACTCTGTTCCTGTACCCTGGGAAGTCTCTATGTGCTGGTGTGATTAGTGTTATTTACTGAACTTTCTTGAAGGACAAGTCCTCCCAGGAACTGAGCTGCTTTTGGGCTTGGTGAAGCTTCACAAATAAGCAGGAGTGCTGTAAACCAGAGATAGAGGAGTTAAAGCAGTGATGGAGCTCAAATATACACAAAGGATGTTTGAGCCTCACTTCAAACATACGGGAGAAGACTATTACAGGCATTCCACAGCCTTTCTAATCATACAGAAATATTTAAAACAACTAAACTGCCTTTCCTGAAATCTTCTATTGTTGTCATGTTATCGTTCTGTGTTTATTCTTCAGCTGCTGTTGTTTTCCTGCCTGGGAAGAGGAGAATTTCAGAATCTTCTTCTGTTCCTTACATGTAATACAAAACCAGATAAGGAGCAAAATCAATATTTTATACCTTTAGGAGTTTGCCTTGAAAAAAACAAACCCCACAAAAATCCCTGGGAATTGTTTTTCAGTGCAGAGAAGGAAGCAGATGTGGCCTGATTCCCTTAACAAACACTTGGGTAAAGACTTCTGTCTCTGGTCTTTGTCAGTTAATTATGCTGAAGCGTAAAACCTAAAATACTGTGCCAAAAATCTGGTAATGTTCCATTTCAATTTCGTACGACTTAGCTGAGACAACCAAATCTGTCATTGTATATTCATACTGAATTAAAACTATCAAGAGAAATTCAACAGATGTCCAAACCCATGTAATTCCAAGTAATTTAGTATTAAGTGTGATATTAGTTTGGTAGTTTGAATCAAATTTAATTAAAGAAAAAAAGCAGAGAAGAGCTCAGACCTTCAAACACAGTTGACAAAGTGCCTGTTTTTCTCTTTACTTTTACTTTTGTCTTGTACTTCCATAGTTAAAATTTCATGTTGGCTCTCTAGCTACAATCAAACCTCTTCCTTTGCTGTGCATTTTGAAGCATTTTATAGCAGCAATAAGAAGTTGACATTCTAATAAATTATAAATTAAAACTTTTCTTCTTTAACATTTTCAGCTTCTTTACTGAGTTTTGGTTTAATGTTACCTCAACAGCTAATTCTTGATGTGTAACTCATAATTTGTACTGAAATGGTAATAGGTTCTTAACTAAGAACATCTTTCCAGCAAATCCTGTGGAGTGGCAGTTGTGTGGGTTTTAAAAAAAGAGGCATAAAAATAGCATAAAGCATCTTCGGTGTTAAAAGTTTGGGAAGTTTGCCAGTGGGGTTTGAAAGTCATTGAACCACTTGGTTGGATAGCCCATTAAGTTAATTTTTCACTTCATTTGACCAATTTTAGGTTTTTATCATTCTTAAATTGCTCCTTTTCAAATTATCTGCACTTGAAAGAGAGGCAAAGAGCTTTGGTTAACAGCAGCTTTGTCCCTCTCCAGCCTTACTGTGCTGTCAGCTCTGCTGGACTCGCTAGTTTAGGGCAAAAAAAATCTTGTTTCCAAATTAGGGTTAAGTTTTCCTGTTTGGTTTTTAATTTATATTGCTGCTTGAATGTTATTGCAGAAGGAAAGGAGGCCTCAGGATGGGCTGGGGAATGGAAGGAGAATGTTCTAGGTTTTGGCTCCTTGTGTGTCACCCAGGAGAAGGGAACTGAAGTTCATCTGCCTCCTGCATTTCGGAAACCACTTTGTTCTTCACATTATCTTAATAACCACAAAGCACATGAATCAGTTTTAATAACACACAGCTCTGAATCATACCATTCCCTGTGTCCCTTTCCAGGCTTCAAACTTCCCTCAAGGAAGAGGTGATTCCAGTAGTGTCAGGGAGCTGTGTGGTCATACAGATGCTTCTTAGTTTTCTAATACTGATTTGGATATCAATTACTCCATGGAGAATGGACAGAGCTTAGGATAAATTGTACACATCAGACAGGGCTCTCAAGGCCAGAACATGTCACTGTGTGTTGGGGTGCTGACAGATTTCTCTCTGTGTTTTCAGGAGCTCCTGAAAACAGAGGGCTGGGTCCGGGCTGGTGTTTGCAGTGCTTTGGGACTTCACCAGTTCTCTTCAAACTGAAAGCTCTGATTTCATTTTGTTGTGCAGGCAGTGTCATTCCTCTGCTTGGAACTGTGGAAACTTGGCTTTTGCCAAACTGTTGGTGATCAGGGTGGGATGTAGACCTCAAAAACAGGCTGTGAAACCTTCCTGTGAAGGTGTTTGACAGCAGAGTGCATGCAAGGGATGTCTTTGATCACCTAACATGATTTAGTGTTACTGCACATGAACTTCTCTTTAGAGGGAGTTAATACCCATTGACTTTATTTCCTATTCTGTATCTGTGCTGCTCCACTTAAAAAAAAAAAGGGATTTAATGCCAATAAAACATCCTCTAGAACTAAGTGTAAACCCAAAGCTGCCAATTGCTGGAACTGAGAGTGGAGGCTGATTGTTGGTGAATTGCCCAACAGATGAGGATGATTGTTTGTTATTGGAAGTGGGTCAGTGGATATCATTACTAGAAATCTGTGGCTTTTATTGTCCTGTTTCATTTTACTATTGGATTAATTTCAGTTTCCCATCTCAGTCCTAATACTTTATGGTTTGAATTTTGGAAAATATGGGGGAAAAAAATCAAGGCAAATATACTTTTTTGCACATTATAAAGAAATGTGTGAAATTATTTCATTGATCTAACACTGGTGGTGGGTGCTGGCACTCAGCATGGCCACAGATACTGATACTAACTATCCTTGTGACAAATTGCTATATTTGGGTGAATTATGAGAGGCTTAGAACTGCATTTTTCATAGCCTTGTTGACTTGGCATTACGTTGTACAGAGATTGTTCCTGTTGGAATTGGTGTGTCTGCTTACAGCTTCTTTTTGCCAGACACACCAAGTGTGCCCAGTCCATTTCTGTTAGTGTTTTCTGGGGTTTTTTTTTAGCTTGTGAAAGATGGTGAAGTGGAAAGGGAAACATAATTTGCAATTGTTTTTCCACATCAGCACTAATACGAAGTTGCCTTTAGCCTTACATTATCTCTAGGGTTTTCTAGTTAGAAACTACTGCAGAAAGAGAACATCTACTTCCTTAGCTCATGAAAAAAATCTGAGTCAGATCTATTTCCTGCAGGTAGAATCCATGTGGATATCCCGTTGTAACTTTATAGACTTCTCTTGTATGTTTTCCATTGTTGTTTTTTCCCCTTTGGAGATGTGATGGAGGATACAAACCCAACTGTGTTGCACTCTCTGCCATAGGTTATCATGTAGTTCTCCAGATATATATACACCACTAAAAAGAACCTGAGTCCTCCCAGCTTGGAAAACAAAGTTAGAGCAGTGTTAGCTTTGAGCATTTCAGAGCTGAGATTCCCAGAAACCATCACTGTGCTCTGTTGCTCCTGGGTGATGTGGAGATGTGGCTTGTGTCAGACTGGGTCGGATTAGTTCTCCAGTGCTCTGCTGCCCAGCCCTTAGGTAGCCCTCAGTACAGAGGTGAGGAACTGCTCAAGTTACAGATCCTCTTGGGCTCAGCTGCAGGAGTTTGAAGTGTGAGTCAGTGCTGCAACACCTTTGAAAACCCAAGTGTGTGTTGGCCTAAAATTCTGCTACCACAATTTGAATTTTAGGTGTTTTAGCCAAGCCACCTCCAGGTTGTGTCTTGGTTTCGTCTCATAGTTTCCTTGCCCATTGATTGTGATGTCTTTGAAGAAGTATTTCATTCTGTTCTGAGTTTTCTGCTGCAATGTGTCTTTGTTGTCTGATGGGAGAACATGCCCATCTGTTTTATTATGTATCAACTGCTAAGGTTTGGATGTAACACAAGTGGTATTAGAGGCTGCAGCATTTTCTGCTGAGGACAGCTACGAGTGTGCAATTTTGGAAGTGAAATGCAGGAACCTTTCAAGCAGGATTGCCAAAATTGAATCCTATCTGCATCGACTCAATGTTTAACTAATTTTCACTTGACTGGAAGTGACAAATGATTAAAGAGAAAAAGTGATGCCTTTTTTGTATGTGAATAGTTGGCTGAAAGGTGTTATCATCAGAGAAATGGCTCCTTTAGTGCTAGATTCAGTCAGAATCCCAATGGCCCTGGGAAATTGCCTTGGCTGCTTTTGGTGAGACATGTTTTATGGGTATGAATGGGACATAGGTTTTCAGCCAATGAAGTGAAAGTTCAAAGTGTTTCTTTTGTTTTAATTGTGTAGGACACCTGATGATCTCTCTGGGCAAATTGTGGCCCTGCAGCAAAGGGAGCTTGCACTGAAAGAGCAGAACTCCACCTTCATGAACAGGTGAGTGATCCCAGCAGGGGATGCTGGTAGCAGGACTCTGCCATGTTAAAGCACTTAGAAAGGAAACAAGGACTGAAAACTGAGAGAACAGCTTTGCTTGCTGTTGCATGGAGCCTTCTATGCTGTCTTCTGTTCTTTCCCATGTTGATGAAGAGCTTTTTGCTTACTGAAATCCTTGCAGGAAGAAAAACATGAAGAACTGTGGGTTGGATGCAGTGAAGAGTTTATCCAGCTTTATTTTATGAGCTGAAGTGTTTGCAAGGGGAAGTGAGTTGCCTTCCCAGATTGTTTCATTTGGAAAGGGAATGTCACAACAAAATATGCAAAGTAGTCATCTGGATATGGGAAAGGAGTAAGGCTCTGAGGGCTGTGATTTGACTACTGAAAGGACCAGTTTGTAGAGATGGTGGTGGAAAAGGATGTTTGCAGTTTTGATGGCAAAGTACTGCAAGGATTTGGGAGGAGCAGACTGGGGAGTGAGCTATGTGTTTGAGATGAGAGGGTGTGTAAGCCCTTGCCCTGGTGTGAGAGTGAATACCTGATGGGGAAATGAATTTCTCTGCCAGAGCTTAACTTTGCAGCCTGCAGTGGTTCCACAGCCTGTCTAACATGGTTCCACAGTGTCCCAGAAAGTGCTTCTCACCCTCAGTGCACAAACCCTTGCTTCCCTTACATCAGGAACCCTCTGTCTCTACTTAAAGCAATCCCTCTGCCTTTCAGAAAGGCTCTGGACTGTTTGCATTGCAGGGTGGTACTGCCTTGTCTGAGCAACAGGAGTGTGGAGAATTTCAGCCTTTGGTGTAAACCTGTTGAGTGCAAAGCAATCAGATCCTGTGTGATTGAGCACTGGATGAGCACTCTTAGCCTGACGTGGGCTGCGGTGGCTAATGTCTCTCCTGAGGTATGTGGTACATTTTGGTTTAAGAGATGATCGTGATTCGGGCTCAGCAGGATTCAAGCTGAGTCTTGAAAGCTTTGTGTGTGCTGCTGCTGTTAATGAAACTGTTTAGTCAGTTGTAAAATGGTTACCTAAGTGTAAATTCCCAGGAGTGAAACAGCAAAATTCTTTTGTGGGTTTTGCTGAGAAGCTTACAGGGAGGGGAGAAAAAAAAATATCACCATTATAAAAAAGGCATTTTGTATATTAAAAATAAACCAAGCAAATGCTCAAACCTACAACTGATTAAATGATCCAATGAAAGAATGATGGTAGTGTTTGGGTTACTGATTTGGGTTGGGTTTTTTTAGGCTGCTTCTCACAGCCTCTCAGAGAAGTGTTTGCTCTAAATTTATTAATGGCCAAGGGGAATCATCTGTTGAAAAAGCAGCTTCTTGGTAGTGCCTGTTCATCTAGATGTAATTGTGCCAATTTAGTTTAAAAATAAAAACATGATTGAAATTACTTTTTGATTTCAAGTTAAATGGGCTGTAAAGCTGCTTAAATTAAAATTCTGACATTTTCCTGATGCAATGCTCTGTGTCATTTCTGAAAGTGATAATTTCCACTTTCTTCTGCCGCAGACCTTAAAAGGTAGGCAATAAGGTACATTTTTAAAAACCTTTGGTTGCAGATGATTTGAAAGTTCCCAGGAGAAGGTTTGGAGTCTTTGGAAATAAAATGCTTTAAGGAAGCAAACTCAATTTTCTCCTCTCTCTGACTCTTTTCCAGGCTGAGCTGGTGGTCCTCTCTTTTATTTGTTTCCTGATTGTGTTCAGGATTGTCTGTGTGTTGCAGTAACTTAGTATGTGATCATGCCTCCCTCTAGTGATGGAGCCCAGCACTTAGTCAGCTTTCCTCTGGCTTTTTTCAGCTGCAAGTTCTTTTGCCCTTAGTTGATATATGTTGTCTTCAGTGCTGATAGTGCAATGTTTGATTTACAGATTTGGTGGTTATCTGTACATAGAGTAAATGTGCAGGACAGGCAGCAAAAAAGTTTTGCTTACTCCTAAAAGGCTTTGATTAGTTTTCTCTATTAAAATTAATGGTTTGGTAGATGCTTAAGGAAATATCATCAGAAATTGGTGTGTGAATTTATTTTTATGGCAATCACGTGGAGAATCACAGGTAATTTTGGCTTACCTGTTTCTGCATTGCAAAATCTTGTTCAATAGAGGAGGTTTGAGTGTGATGTTAAAAAGGATTATATGACCCTTCTCCCTAAATGGCTGATATTGAGTCTTTGGAGAGTGAATGAGAATGGTTGAGAATGAGTTGGATGAGAAGCTCCCCATGAGCTGCAGTGTGTGCTAGCAGCCCAGAAAGGCAATCAAATCCTGGGCTGGATCAAGTGGAGTGTGGGCAGCAGGTCGGTCAAAGGAGGTGATTCTTCCCCTCTGCTCTGCCCTTGTGAGACCCCAGCTGGAATACTGCACACAGTTCTGGTGTCTTCAACATAAGGAGGACATGGAACTGTTTGAGCTAGTCCAGAGGAGGCCACGAAGTTGCTAAGAGGTCTGGAGCATCTCCCCTATGAGGACAGGCTGAGGGAGTTGGGGCTGCTCAGTCTGGAGAAGAGAAGGTTGTGTGGAGACCTCAGAGCAACTTTTCTGTATCTACTGCAAGGGAGTCAGAGAGGGACTCTTTGTTAGGAGCTGCAGTGACAGGACAAGGGGTAATGGGTTCAGACTGAAGGAGGGAGAGTCTAGTTTGGATGTGAGAAAAAAGTTTTTTACTATAAGGGTGGTGAGACACTGTCCCAGGTTGCCCAGGGACGTGGTAGCTGCTCCGACCCTGGTGGTATTCAAGGCCAGGCTGGATAAGGCCTTGAGCAACCTGATCTAGTGAGAAGGTGTCCCTGCCCAGGGCAGGGGATTGGGACCAGATGATCTGTAAGGTCCATTCCAACCCCTAAACTCTATGATCCTATGAATGTATGTTTGGTCATCACTAAGCATTTAAACACAGGCAGAAGAGTTCCTGGAAGGAATTCTTGCAATTGGATTATTCTTTCTTTCAGTCTTTACACTGCAATCATCTTGGGTTTTATTCCCAGTGGTGGTACCTTTCCCACACTGTTAGTGGCTGTGATAGACACTTGCCAGCTACTGTTTGTCTGACAGCCTGACATATAGTCTCCAGTTTCTTTTTGATAACAGGAGCTGCTCAGTGGCAAAGCAGGAGTTAATTGCTAATGTAGGGATATATGAGCATGGCTTGACTTCAGAAAACAAAGGAGTCATGGAAAAGGTATCACAGGGGAACAATTTGCCACGTAAAGTCCCATCCATTTCTGTAAAACTGGAGACAGATCTAGCTCAACTGCTTCTAGTGTCCCTCAGTTGATCTCGAATGGGGAGTTACGGTGTCTAAACACACTGCTAACAACCTTCTCCAAATGGCATATGGCTTCACTACACACAAAATTAATTTTATCTTATTCTCCCATTCTTGAGCTACTTTCCAGTTATTGCTGTGCATTTTTTTAGAGCTAGTGTTTGTGTTATTAAAAAGGCAATAGAGATCACCCCAGCACAAAGAGGCAACAGCATTACAAACCTGCCCTTGCACTGGTACTTGCCTGAGTGGGGATCTGCAGTGCAGTCCTGGGTTGTGTAGCTTGTGCAATCACCAGTGTCTTGAGGCCTCCCAGAGATCAAATGATGATGCATATCCTATTTGCTCTGTCGCTCACATTGGATGCTTTTAGACACAGAACCACAGGACTGAATTTCCTGAACAGCAGGTTTAAATCAATTTCTTTTAACAGTGATTGTTTATATGTTTGGTTGTGTAGACTCCCTCGGAGCTTGCTATTTTTGCTAGGGGAGAAAACCTTCCTGTGGTGCCAGGATGGGGAAAGAGGAGAGGGTCACTTTAGCACTGAACAGCAACTCTGTTCTCTTGGCAACTTCAGGATCTGTGAGTAATGCAGCTGAAAGTGCCATTAATCGTGCGTGATGGACTCTCTCTGCTGGTTTGGACTGTGTTGCTAGAAGTCATATAAATACAGTAAATTATACTTTCGGCCCGAGCAGCAGGAAGTATTGTGGAGCTTTGTAACTGCAGAGCAAAGATAACAATCCAAAGGTTCCAAAGCTCCAAAGAAGATTGCTCAGGGCCACTTTGATAGCACAAAGTGTACCTGCTTTGCTGTTTAGGAAAAGGTGATGAAAGGAAGGTGTTTAATTAGTGGGGCAGTTTAACCATGCAGCCACCATTAGTTAAAGCACATTTCCCCTCCCTGAGTGGGAATGCTGGAGGCATGGAAGGCTGAAATGTGCTTTTTCTGGAAGAGCTGATGGTTGTAGTTTGTGATATGGAAAGTCAGCCAAGTGCTTCATAAGCTTTTGTCTTATGGAAAAACGATGTAGTAGTTGCACTATTTTTTGAAAGTGAGAAAAACTGCATGTTTCTTTTGCCTGCTTCCTATCTGCATATTTGGAGTCTCTGGAGAGATTTCCTAAAGCAATCCTGGCAAAGCATTCTAGAACTTGAAATGCAGGGGGAAGCTGCCCTTCTCATCAGTGTTGTCCTCTGCAGTGGCTAATGTGAAGGAATGATGCTGCTTTCAGCTTGAGCTTTGCTTCGGTTCTGAAAGACACGCTGGGAAAATGGACTTCTTTGGTTGCTTGCCCTTCTCAAAGTCATCATTTCTACTTTTGCTTGTGTTGTCTAAGTATAATATTGACTTTGGACCATTGAGGTGTCTTGTGGAAAGGCAAATAAGATGAAAACACGCCGGTGAAGTTGGCTCCGAGCAGGATGAAGGGCACAAAAGAAACTGGAAGAGCAGTAAATCTTTGCTTCTGGTCTTGGGATCCTGGAGCTGATGGCTTATTCCCATCACCTAGTGTCAGAAACCCAGCCATGTGTTTTGACATATTGTTTCGTATGGGAAAAGGGATATGTAGAATGTGTTTGAAAATGTATATTCCTACTCCAGGTGCTGACAGAGTTCTGCTAAGAGACATGGTTGTTTACCACCTTTATTTGTATAAATCCTGTAAAACTGAGGTACCCAAACAACCTGCCATGTGTGTTGGTGCTTAAAAATTAAATA